GATGTATGGTTGAACGGATGGATGGACAGCTGGAGGTATGGATTTATGGATGGATGGATGGAAGGATGTATAGAAGAGTGTATTAAAGAAGGATGAATGGATGGACGGATAGATATATGGATGTGTAGACAGTTGAAAGAAAGAAGGAAAGATGGAGGGATAGGTGAATGCATGGAAGGATGTATTGATGGATGAAAGAAAGAAGGATGAATTGGTGGATGGATGGATAGATGGGTGGACAGATAGACAGATGGACAGCTGAATGAAAGCAGGAATGAGTGGGGACAGATGATAGGATGGTAAGGATGTGTGTATGTATAGATGTGTGAATCCTCCAGTGCAGTGCAGTGTGTGCGCGTGCGTGCGTGTGTGTGTGTAGGTCTCTGCTGATGGCTTCACAGCAGTATGAAGTTCTAACAGTTTAAGCCATGGCTGATGTGTCTCTGTCTGTCTGAGCCTCTGCTCATAATGCAGCATTATTTCTCCGATCGATATGTTATATTCCCACTGATGGGAGACGATGGCAGATATTCTGTAGCTTTTCCTGAATAACAGACGTCGGTAGCTGGAGTCGGAGAGAAGTTTGCTGATTATATTTAATGAGCAGTGTTTCCTCTGACGGGTATTAATGGGCTGGATGTTCGTCTGAGGTGACGTCTTTGATCTAGAGACAAATTAACGCTCAGCTATATGTAGCTTTTAGTGGAAAATCTCCTATGTGTGTCCGATCGATATCTGTAGAGCTCGTCTCTGGTGATTACACGCAATTTCCCACCTTAGAAAGGTAGAATATCCACATTCACTGCTTGAAATATATTGCGGACTGTGTGTGTGTGTGTGTGTGTTGACTGAAATTGTAGTGTCTGGATCATGTTCACATTCAGATGTTTAGGGGGATTATTTTGTTTAATGATTTTGATGAGAGTCTATTTACAGCTGTGTCTTTGCATTTGTGGTTTATGGTTGTGTTTGAGTATAAGGGATGTTTTGTCAGAAGGTCAAGACAACAAACACAATGGGTATGGAAAGTATTCAGACCCCCTTAAATGTGTTACTGTTTGTTATACTGCATTTGCTAAAATCATTCAAGTGTGTTTGTTTCTCTTTGATGAACACACAGCATCTCATATTGACAGAAAAACACAGAATTGTTGACATTTTTGCAGATTTATTACAAAATGAAAACTGAAATATCACATGGTCCTTAGTATTCAGACCCTTTGTTCTGTATCCGCTTGTTAAGTGTGACGTCTAAATCTGCTTCAGGGTCTAAGCGCTATATTAAACTGTATAGGGACTCTCAACAATGGGTAACAATAAGCATTTACAAAGCAATGTAATACTTTTAAACATCACAATCGTGATATATGCATCCATGCCTAATATCCGATGGGCAGAAACTGATGATTTTTATAAATGGTTAAATTATTGATGTTTGTGATGCAGTAGAGACTGATGTGTACAGCGTGGTTTTATATGCGTGATATGACAAAAAAGTGGTCATGAACTATTTTTTTTTACTTCAAATGAGAAGCGGCTTGTACCCAGAAACAGTATATGGTATGTCATGACTTGACAATCGCATATAGTATAAGCACCTGTTTGATCTAATACAGTCATGAGTCTTTTGGGGAAAGATGTGGATGTGGATTTGGGGATGCTCTGAATACTTCCTGTACCCACTGTTCTTATGTTAATCAGGTTTCAACAATGTTTTTTTTGTTATAAAAATTGAACTATTATTATTTTTAGACACTTTGGTTTGATTTTTGTAAGTTGAGGTGACTAAAAAGGTTAATTTGATTCAACTAACAAAATTAAAGCAGAAGTATTTTTTTACATTATATGAGCCACTGATCTCATTCATTTACAGCATTTTTTAACCTAAAATAACCAAAAAATGCTGTGTTTTTCAGATGATTTTATTCATTTTTTAGACAACACAATACTTTCAGATGAGTTATGAAATCAATATTTGGCTGATAAAGTTTAGTCTCAATTAATAAAAATTTTGTAAATATGATTGTTAAAACAATATTTAATTGTCAATGTTTTTATTTAATTTAAAGGCATTGTTATTATTATTATTATTATTATTATTATTATTATTATTATTATTATTATTATTATTATTATTATTATTATTATTATTATTATTATTATTATTATTAGCATATGTATTACATTCGTGTTTAAATATTATTTATTTATTTATTTTGAATTAGATTTTTTTTTCAATAGATTAACATGGATCATTTGACAATTTCGTCTTTCACAATACTTTTCACTTCATCACTGTTGTATAAACACACTCTAACTAGCATTTTCTGATTGCAAATAATCTCTACACCATTATTATTATTATTTTTATTATTATTATTTTTATTATTATTATTATTACTAGTATTATTATTATTATTATTATTATTATTATTATTATTATTATTATTATTTTTATCATCAATCATCACTACTACTGCTACTAATAAAAAATAATAAAAATAATAATAATAATAATATAGGGCTGGGCGATTAATCGATAAAGTAATCGAAATCGACATTCAGATCCTATAATCTTCTTATTTCTATTTTGCAGCCACACCTGATCTCTGGTCAAGCAAGACGATAGACTCATTCTTGAGCCTTACTTTGCACAACTTTGACGATGATTGGAAGCTGCGCAAGAGGTGCCTTTAGATGGCATGTGAAACTTGTCAGTGAACTATGAGGGCAAAAAATTTAATTAACAAACAAAATAATCCTTAAGTAATCATAATCGAGTTAAAATGTTCAATTAATGTATATTTTGATTTTAGGCCAAATCGCCCAGCCCTATAATAATAACAGATATGTTGTACTCGCCTTTCAATGTTCATTCATTCATTCATTCATTCATTCATTCATTCATTCATTTATTTTGTATTAACATATGTATTAACAGGGATCACTTTGACAATGTTGTTGTCTGCCACAATTATTTTCACTACATCATTGTTGAAGGTAGCAACATCCCTAACCTGATTTCACCAAGTACTGTAGGACATGTTTCTGGATGAACATCTATGTTGACCCTGGAACAACATTTCAACCAGCCAATCAGACTTAAGAGATATGTTTACTGTTTATGTTTACGCTTACGGTTAGGTTCATGCACTTCTATAATTGTTATTCATCTGTTATTCCCCCCTGATTTGGGAAATAATTTACAGTTATGGTTGGGTTTAGGAATAGGGAATACAAAAATGATGTTCCAGGATCAACATCGATGTTAATCCAGGACTGCAAAATCATGACATGAGTACAAACATCACTAGCATTTTCCGATTTCAGATCCTCTACAGCCTTATTAATTATCATACGGTATATGACTCTATTCTGTGTTTTCAGCCTCAGCTTCATGTCTCCTCCTCCAGCTCATATTTTCTGATCTTTCCACCAGTTTGCAGTCGCTCTTTAAATGTCACTAAGCATTTCCCCCAAGCGGATCTTTTGCAGACTCAAACTCAGTGATCATGACTCTCTGACCGGAGCTTTTCATTACTGGATGTTCACGCTCCGGCATTAGCATTCCTGCTATTATCTGAAGCGTGTCTCTCCATCTGCCAGCAGAAGCTCTCTGTGATTTTTACCCCCTGCTGGAGACAAAGATACACATGAGTGCTTAGCCTTTGAGGATTCTGTGCGTGTGTGTGTGTGAGTGTGAGCGTGCATGTGTGTCTGTGTGTGTGCGCACATGTCTGTTAATTGAGTAAGAGCTTTCATTTTTAAATTCTAATTAAGGAAAGTTGTAAATCTGTCTCTGAGTGTGAGCATGTGTCCTTATCAGACGCTAATTATGCTTCCAGCATCTGAGAAGACTTGATGTGCGTGTGTGTGTGTGTGTGTGTGTGCGTGTGTGTGTGTAGGTCTGTGAAACCTTGTCAGAATGCCTGGTGAATAACAAACTCATGAGTGTTCTTTGATGCATGTTTATCTGTTTCTTTATTTAATTATTTATTCTTGGTGAGAACTTATTAAGCAAGAGCTACACTTTTCTCACTCCACATTTGCAGCTTATTAATGAATTTGAAGCATTGTGCTGAATGTGATACCAGGACTCGACCATAAAGCAAAAACCAACCAAAAACATTAATGAAAATAAAAATCATATTAGGGTGGCACAGTGGGTAGTGCTGTCACCTCAATGCAAGAAGGTCGCTGGTTCGAGCCTCGGCTGGGTTAGTTTGCATTTCTGTGTGGAGTTTGCTCGTTCTCCCAGTGTTGGTGTGTGTTTCCTCTAAAGACATGCACTATAGGTGAATTGGGAAGGCTAAAATTGTCCGTAGTGTATGTGTGTGAATGAGTGTGTATGGGTGTTTGCTAGTGATAGATTGCAGTTGGAAGAGAATCCACTGCGTAAAACATATGCTGGATAAGATGGCGGTTCATTCCGCTGTGGCACCCCTAGATTAATAAAGGGACTAAGTCTAAAAGAAAATGAATGAATGACAATTATTTTATTTGCATTAAAATTTGCTTATCTTGAGGACTGTTTACACATTTTGCAGCATAAAATATGTTTAAGGAATTTAATAAAGATAATAAAACAAATACTTTAGTATTTTTAAAATAAGAATAATAATACATTTTATTTGTAATGTGCTTTTCTTAGACTCGAAGCGCTATAATTAGGTTAAAGTTAGAGTAATTAGAAGAGACAAGTCATTGAATAACAGTGGTTTGTTCTGTAGACAATCCAAAATAAATATTGCTTAAGGGGGCTAATAATATTGACCTTAAAATGTTGTTTTAAAAATTAAAAACTGCTTTTATTCTAGCCTAAATTAAACAAATAAGACTTTCTCCTGAAGAAAAATATATTATCAGACATACTGTGAAAATTTCCTGAATCTGTTAAACATCATTTAAGAAATATTTGAAAATGAAAAAAAAAAAAATTATAATTCCTAGGGCTAGTCCGACTCTGTCTAATCATTTCTCTCTTACTGTGTTGTTTTCAGATGTACATCCAGACCACGACCCTCACCATCTCCCTCAGTCTGAGTGCGTCTGTGTCTCTGGGGATGCTCTACATGCCCAAAGTCTACGTCATTATCTTCCACCCGGAGCAGAACGTTCCCAAACGCAAGCGCAGCTTTAAGGCCATTGTCACCGCCGCCACCATGTCTGGAAAACTGGTGCAGAAGGGCAGTGATCGACCCAATGGAGAGGTCAAGACTGAGCTGTGCGAGAGCATGGAGACCAACAGTGAGTACTGCACACCACATTAGGGCTGAGGAATTCAAGTTCACTTTAAAGGGAAGATTTCAAAGTATTTTATTCCCAGATAACAACTGATAAAAGTAATAACACAGGCTCATCCGTGTACTACAATTCATCTTAACTGGTGAATGTATTTATATACATATTTATGTTTCATATGCCAGTTTTTGGCTGTTTGGCGCCATCTTGTGACTGGATAATGAATAGGTTAATGTATGCTGCATTCAGCCCTATTAGATGTTTGCATACTTTACATTCGTTCAATCATTCATTCATTTTCCTTCAGCTTAGTCTCTATTTTATAGGTTGCCACAGCGGAATTAACCGGCAATTATTCCAGCATATGTTTTATGCAACAGATGCCCCTCTAGCTGCAACCCAGTACTAGGAAACACCCATACACACTCATTCAGTCAGTTTAGCTGTGTTTGAACTGTGGGGGGAATCAGAGCACCCGGGACAAACCCTGTGAGAACATGCAAACTCCACACAGAAATGCCAACTGGCCCTCCTGGGACGCGAACCAGCGACCTTCTCTCTGTGAGGTGACAGTGCTAACCACTGAGCCACCGCGCCACCCTCACTTATTTAGTTATTAGTTAAAAAAGTTTAACCAGTTATTACGCCTCAGATCATTGTATAACTGTTTAGTTTTGTAGCAAGTAGCTTTGTGATAAGAAGGATAATGTACATCCAGCTTGTTGTTTATACAATACACACCCCTTTTGTCTCACAATAGTTCATGATAAAACTTTCAGGCTTTATTCTGCAAGAACAACCGACTAGATGTAAATTACCCCATACTTATTTTATAATATACAATATATTTTTCAGCCCGACCCAAAATACCAATGTGCTTCTTTGTTAAAGCCATTCAATAAGTGATTTTGAATCCAGTCTCATTTAATGACACTAATGACATTTTAAAACCTGATTTCACCTAGTAGGACATGTTCTTGGATTAACATCTATGTTGATCCTGGAACAACATCCCAATCAAAATTAAGAGATAGCATTTATGTTTAGGCTTACGGTTAGGTTTATCAAAGTCCCTTTAAGGCAAGTCATTTCACTCTGTGGCCATTTTTGAAATCATCTCAGGCAGTATGCTCGGGCATTCTGTTTGAATCGGGAAACATTAAATTCTCCAAAACTACTTGCCAAGCTTATGATTACATTTCTTATTATAAATAACCAATAAAACTAAACAACAACTGTCTATTTAGTTTCATTTCTAAATATTCGTATCACACAAAAATCTGCAGAATTTCTAGGTCTGGTCCGTGCTCCTCCCCCAAAGTATTGTCATTCTATAGCGATCACTGATTGGCTCCTGTACTAGAAGGCGGGGCTTTATTCGCCATATTGACAGTTACACTTTTCCCCATTCAAAAGTATACGAGTGTTATGCCTTCTGTTATCTGTAGTCTTTGGGTTTATGCACTTCTACATGATTGTTATCCAACTATTCCCCTCTGATTTTGGGAATTTATGGTTATGGTTGGGTTTAGGAGTAGGGAATAGGTATGATTACAAAAATGATGCTCCAGGATCAACATAGATGTTAATCCAGGATCGCATCGTACTTGGAAAAATCATGACATGCTGCTATGTAAAGACAGCTATGTCATATTAATACAGATGATGTCACTGGATATGATTTTCATCATGATGGTCAAAGACAGACTTAACCTTGATTATTTAGAGCCAGGAGAACACCTAATATTGGACGTCATTTGAGAATAAGTTACATTGAAAGGACACTAAAAGCATGACATTTTTCCCCCATCCAATTTCCATTGCTTTATAGGATGAGTAGTTCATTTGTTAGCTCACAAAAGAACTCAATTTGTAACTTCTCTCATTTTCAAATCGTTTTTTTTTTTTTTTTGCTTTAAACCGAAAGCTGTGATTCATCTCAGAGCTGGCTGGGTTAGTTCAAGGCTTACTGAAGTTTTTTTTGGTGGAAAATTAATAGGAAATATGCTTTGATAATCGCTGGTTGCTCTATCCGCGGTTAGCGTCACATTTCAATCCAGATGTTTGGTAAACGTTCCAGCTGTATACCGAGAACAGCTGTTTATACAGGACGCGGAAACCAAACACAAGTCTTGCTAAAAGCCCGAAAGTTTCCAGCTGAGATGTTTTGCCGGAGGTTGACAAGCAAACTGAAGTGTGACATCAATGTTCTGGCTGTGATTAGCATATCCGACTAGCTGCCTTATTTGCCTGCTTGATACATTTTTTTTGGCTCTTTCTGATTGAATTTTTTATTTATTTTTTTGTTCTCTAAAAGTGCCGGATTATGGGAGTGTTGAAAATTTAATCACTCAGAAGTGATGAGAGGCTTTGAGGGGATAGAAGCCCATTTTAAGTCATCAAGCCAATTACTTTGTTCAGAGCTGCCGGTGATGCTGAAACATTAAAGCGCAGCGTCAAGACCACCCAAAAAACTTTCACAGACTCAATTAGACAAGTTTTTATTTTATTTGAGGCTTGGTGTTTTGGCTAGACTTTTACTTAGTGGAGAGACTAAAAAGGAAAGGATTTGGAGGAAGAAGTGCACTGTGAAAAATGCAGGGTTTAACACAATTCATTCATGTTGCACCATGGCTAATCAATTTAGGTTTACACATTTAAGTGGATTGAAAATAAAACAATTAAGTTGTCACAAAAGAATCTCAAGAATTGTGTTGTTTCAGCTTGTTTTTAATAAGTGGCATAAATAAGCACATTTTTTGTTTTGTTTTTTGAGTGTGAGTTGAAAACATTTAAAAGCAAAAATAAAACCTTTAACCTTAAAAGTTTTAGTTACACAATTTGACGGATGTAATTTTTATTTGTTTTCGTGTTATGATTGAATTGTTGAATTATTTATTTGATACACTCAATAAAATTAGCTTTGCTGTTTGTGCAAACTACTTTTTTATTTTACATTTACATACAGTAAAACAACACAATTCTTAAGTTTTCTTTTTTTTTTTTTTGCTACAACTTGGTTGTTTTATGTTCAATTTGTTTAAATTTGAAAGAGTAAGATGTCATTTTATTCCCTCATAATGTCCAACAATAATAAATAGTGTAAATTTTTACAGCGTATTTGTTGTCAGAATCAAAACAAGTGTTCATCCTTAATGTGATACACTCGAAAAATCTACATTTTTTTTGGAGACAACTTCATTGTTTTATATTTATTCCTTTATTCATTTTCCTTCGGCTTAGTCTCTACTTCAGAGGTCGCCACAGCAGAATGAAGCACCAACTATTCCAGCTTATGTTTACTGCAGCAGATCCCAGCAACCTTCTTGGTGTAAGGCGACAGTGCTAACCACTGAGCCATCATGCCACCCTGTTTTATAATCAATCCACCTAAATTTGTAAAAACAGTTAGGTTAACTTAATCAATTTGTGCTGGGTCAACGTGAAGGAGCAAACACTCACTAAAATTTCTCGCACACACATTTCAATTCTGCCATTATTTGCTCAACTTTTACTTGTTTCTAAACTTTATGAGTTACTTTTTTTACAGTGTAAAAAAACCTGAAAAACCTGTAACCATTGACTTTTTTTTGTGTCAATGGTTACAGGTTTTCAGCATGCTTTAGTATATATTATTTTGTGTTTTCAACAAAAGAATGAAACACACAAAGACTTGATGGTGACTAAATAATGAGTACATCTTAATGTTTGGGTGAACTATCCCATCAATTAGAAGTTGTCTACAGATCTGAAATTAATTATCAAGTGAACAACATTGATTCACCATCTTAAATGATTCATTTAAAATCAATGCATAATTCATTTACATGAACACTTTTCCCAGCAACATATTTAGACAGTTTTTTCATTCATTCATCCGTTCGTTCATTCATTCATTCATTCATTCATTCATTCATTCATTCATTCATTCATTCATTCGTTCGTTCGTTCAAGAGCCATGGATTTGTTCTTTTGTGTTTGCACTTACAGCAATGAAAATTAATCCACACTGAACTGAACTTAACTGAACTTAAACTCTGAAATCTGGACTGGCACTGTTTTAATTTACTAGAACTTCTGTTATAAGCTGCTTTGATACAATCTACATTGTAAAAGTGCTATAAAAATCAAGATGAACTGAACTGAATTGAATTGAACTGATTTCATTCATTCATGTCCATTAAGGCTGTTTTAACACATGAACCAAACCAACAACTAAACACAAAGTTAAGACTGTCAATCATAAGAAGCATTGCAATTTTCTGTACAGCATCACATATAATGTAGATTTCTGCACAAAGTCTGCTGTTATAAATAGGTTGAATTAATGCAGGCCTATGCGGGTTTAGCTAAAGTATACACAAGACCTCAGTGCTCACATCAGCTCTGCCTTTAAAGGCTTATCAGTAATTGTAAAAAAAAAAATAAAAAAATCAGTTTCCCCATCGAGAAAATAAATCGAGTTTTCACTCCTGCACCCCTGCTGCTCTCTGTTTTTCTTAATTAAAAGTTGTGTCTACAAATCTACCGAATCTATTGAGGCTGTTTGTTTAAGGGAGAAACTTTAGAGAACAGAAAATAAGGACGGACTGTTTCCTCAGATGATTACAAGACTGATTTATCCAGCAGGAAAACAACACCACTGAGATGAGAAAGTGTTTATCTCCACTTTTTAAAAATGAAACTCTTTATTGGCATTGAAGATTCTTTTCGAAGCCTAAACATACAGTATACGTGGAGTTTTTAAAAATGTTCTTCACACCAAAACAAAAAAAAAAGTTTTATTTTGTACAACAAGTTTTAACCATTTTTATTTATTTATTTATTTATTTATTTATTTATTTATTTATTTATTTATTTATTTATTTATTTATTAGTTTATTTATTAGTTTATTTATTAGTTTATTTATTGATTGATTTATTTTGAATTATTATTATTATTATTTATTTATAATTTTTATTATTTAATAAATGCATTTATTTTTGTATTTTTTATTTATTTATTTATTTAATTTTTGGTCTATTTGCTGCTCAAAAACCACTGATTTGATAGAATATAACTTAATAATTAAAAATAAGATTTATTAATTCTAACCCTAACCTAAGCAACTTTAACTTGATAGTATATATAAAAAAATAATAAAGTAAAAAAAATAATAATAATAGAGCTTGACAAGTTTTAACATAAACTTTTATTTATTTAACTTTTCTATTCAAAATTGGAAACCTCACAAACACCGGTTAAAATATCATTTATTATTATTAGTATATATAAAATATTATTATTAAAATATTTATGTATTTAAATAAGTTATACAGCTAGACAAGTTTAATATAATCTTTTATTTATTTATTGCTTATATTCAAAATTGAAAACCTCGCAACACAGGGTTATTATCATTAAATATATAATATAATATTAAGAATCATTTAAAAACATTTACATTTCTCAAAAACTTTACAAATATTATTTACACTATTAAAAAAAAAAATCTGAATAACTTTTTCTTACTAAAAGATTATTTGGGTAACCAAAAAGCTTCTTATATGGAATCACCGTTTAAGCCCCTTATCATTTTATGTTTAAACATGTATGATTTAGCTTTAAAAATATTAAATCATTAACCGATTCTTCAGGTCTAAAAATACCCAAAATGTACTTTTTTTAAAGATTGTAAACCATACTTGCCAACATTTCTGATTTTCCCAGGAATCTTCCTTGTTTTAAATTTAAAATCTCGTAATTAGTATGGCCCAGTCTTTTTAAGAAAAATCACTTTTGTCCATGTTTGTCAAGTTGCCGAATAATGAAGCTCATCATCTCACAAAATTGATGAAATATTCAAATCTCTATTCATTTTTTACCTCAATCTGGCAACTTATGTTACAACAGTGCAACTTGTTTGTAATGTATGTTGCCAGATTGAGGTAAAGATGAATAGAGATTGGAATATTTTATAAATTTTGTGAGATGATGAGCTTCATTATTCGGCATCTTAGCAAACATGGACAAAAGTAATTTTTCTTAATTAGACCGGGGTAATCTGAGGTAATGAGGTGAAAGTGTTTCCCGTTACTAGATATACTCTAATGGAGTATTTCCAGTCTCTGTGTAAATAGAGGGGATTAAATGTATTACATAACCTCCACACCCCTCCACCCCTGGTCTCCCAAAATTTCAAAGACAAATGTTGGCAGGTATGTTGTGAATGTATTATAAGCATATTTGCCAACACTCACATTTTTCCTGGGAGTCTCCCGTATTTCAGACCCATCTCCTCCCACCCTCTCGTTTTGTTATATCTTCCGGAAAATTCCCATCACTTTACCTGGCTTTTTGGTGTAGAGTGTAACACCCTCGGATTGCCAGCTTTGGTATAGTACCTGATTGCAGTGGCTGCCCGAAACCCCCTCTATAGTACAGTTACTAAGATCAGCACCCCATTCTCCCGAAATATCAGAGACAAATGTTGGCAGGTATGATTATAAGAGTTTGTCATTTTAGATGTTTTAAATGCAACACAAGACAAGTAAGAAATAATTTTTTTTCCCAAGATGCTGAACTGAAATGTTTCTCATCCGCAGGTTATGCAGTGGAGTGAGAGTGAATGTGATTCTCTGTTGTTTCCTCCTCCAGCAACATTTTCCACCAAGACGACGTATGTGAGCTACAGCAATCACGCCATATGAGGAGGGGCAGTCTCTGGGGGCGGAGTCGAGGGCGGGGCCTGTCACAAGCAGGATGTCTGCATTGTGACGCGCGCTGGCAGGAAAACGGACCTGGAATGGGCATCTGAGCATGAGATTTTTTATACCGTTCTGCATCAATCTAAAAAACCTGCAGCCTCCTGGGAGACGAACGGACATTGGTGGATCTTCCAGAGAGACTGCTGAACAAGAGCTACCGACCCTGCCATGAACACACGTAAAAAAAACGCACACACTCACAAAACTCAAGGTGCAGGCTTGCAGTCATACGAGAAAAAAAATACGTAAAAATAACTCTGCACAAGTAATCGTGTAAACATTCTGCAGACGAGAGCATTCACGGTTAACTTTTGGAAATGTGGATGTAAAAACAAACAAACAAAGTACAAAAAAAAAAAGAGCGAGAGAGAAAATATATGAAAACTACCAGAGTCGAGCTATGTTTGTTGTTATTGTATTTTTGTGGTCGTGCAGATTTTTTCATTCTTGTCCCACTTTTGTCTGAAAGCTGCATTCTGAGATGACGTGTCTTGTATTGGCTGACTGAACCGTAACCTGCGGGTTTGTGAAGCTGTAAAATGCCATGGTTGAAGCATGCTAGTTTTTATACCAAAAGAACAAACAAAATATGAAGAAGATTTATTTATAATAAAGGAATGTTTTGCAAATGTGTAGCGTTGTTGGATGTGTATTTGACCGTGGGTTTTCTCATTGCTGTCATTCAGGTTCGATTCTTCGAGACATTGTTTTAGGATGATTATGGTCTTCATGAACAGATCATTCATTCATTCTTTCAATTTTCTCCCTATTTCAGAGGTCACCACAGCAGAATGAACCACTAACTATTCTGCCATATGTTTTACACAGTTTTTACCCCTTATTTAATTTATTTTATAGCGCGTGCACTTTAACTATGGGGGAACTGGAGCACTCGAAGCAAACCCACACTGATACTGGGAGAACATGCAAACTCCACACAGAAATGCCAACTGACCAGATCAAAGTTTACAATTAAGTGAAGTTTATTTATTAACTAATTTCGAGAGGATCATGTGCTCACGATTGCTTGCTGCTGGCCCCGCATCATTCACTCTGTGATTCACCAATCAGACGATCCCTCAGCCACTATAAATACCCTAAGCTCCATATAACAGCCATCTTCATTATGAAGAATCCCCCCTTCCACCCCTACTCCTCCTCCTTTCCTAGACGGTTGGCACGGTGGCCCAGTGGTTAGCACTGTTGCCTCACAGCAAGAACGTCACTGGTTCTAGTCCTTACTAAGCCAGCTGACGTTTCTGTCTGGAGTTTACACGTTCTCCCCTTGCTCACATTTGTTTCCCCCGAGTTCCCCAGTTTCCTCCCACCATCAAAATAACATGCAACTCAAGTTAATTGACTAATCCACATCAGCACCACAGACATGATCCTAGTAAGTAGTTATCTCTAAGAGCAAACACTATCTGTTCATTAGCTACTACAGCAATGGAGTTCACAAGATCTATCTGAGCTCAAACTCCCCTCTCGCATTGCAAGCGGGAGGGAGCCCCGGGCTTGAGTATCTTATGAGCTCAGGGCTCTCTCCCAGGACAGCATGCCAAACAAGTTACATATTCAATCATCAGCTAAGAGTGAACTCTTAAAAATTATGCTAAACTTAAAGTACCAAGACTACTAAGAAACTAAGCTTTCATTACTATTATATAGTATAAACTAAGCTGAAACACGGTTAACTGATTTGAATAAGGTAAAGTTGTCTGTTTTTATACAGTGGAAAATCAACGGCAAACAGTAGCCTGTAAAAATATGACACAAACACAGTCTGACGACACCTGAGAGTTATATTACATCCTGTAAAATATCATAACACGACCCCTTAACAACTCTGACAGAGCTACTGTGGTGTTTTATCCATGTTAGCTGTGATCTCTCTGTGTGTATCCAACAATGTGTGTGTGTGTGTTTTGGTTTGAGCTTTGACTGACAGCAGATGCCGATAGCTCGACCTCCTCCTGTTTTCAGTGCAATGACAGAGAAATGGTGCTGCGGGCTGTCGGTTCGACCCGCGCTTGTGCTCCTGAAGGCCTAATCCCTGCTATCTCCACCAGGCTAATTCAATTACTTTGCCCCAGTACAAACCAGATTCAGAGAGCATCCAATCTTTTGCTCCTCTTCTGTGTGTCTCGCTCTCACTCTGATACGTCCGTCAGCTGGGACTGAAGCAGATTTAGACTCCATGAAAAAAAAAAAAAAAACATATTCTGCTCATCTTCAGCAACTTGTGTGTGTTTAGACCTTTTGATTTTTAGATCTTGATTTTAGAAATTGATTTAATACACAGGACGAACACATACATACAGCAATTTAATTGTAATTTAATATAGAAAACATTTAAATTACAAACATTTGAGCTAAATTTGAAACAATAACCAAAACTATGAACTAAAATGCTTCAGATACATTGTACTATAAAAAAAACTATTTAGAGAAACAGTAATAGTATATCAGCTATAGTTATATGCAAAATAATAATACAAAAAATATATATATATAAACAAAATAATAATATATATTTTTTAATTTTGATGTTTTTGACATTTTGTTCTGATCACTCAAAATGTTTTTAAACAAATCTTATACCAAAGTTTATTATTATTATTATTATTATTATTATTATTATTATTATTATTATTATTATTATTATTATTATTATTATTATTATTATTATTATTATTATTATTATTATTATTATTATTATCATTATTATTATTATTATTATTATTATTATTATTATTATTATTATTATTATTATTATTGTTGTTGTTGTTGTTGTTGTTGTTGTTGTTATTTATTTTATTATCATTATTATTATCATCATCATTATTATTATTATTATTATTTATTTTATTATCGTGATTATTATTATTATTATAATTATTATTATTATTATTGTTATTATTGTTATTATTATTATTATTATTATTATTATTTATTTTATTATCGTTATTATTATTATTAATATTATTATTATTATTATTATTATTATTATTATTATTATTATTATTATTATTATTATTATTATTATTATTATTATTATTATTATTATTATTATTATTATTATTATTATTATTATTATTATGAGAATGCAATGTGAGCTAACAAACAAAACAAAAAAAGGTCAAATTGTCCATTTCAGGAAAGAAAAAAACACCCAAGAACAGTTTAAAAGGTAAGTGTTTTTTTTTTTTTTTATGAATAACATTTTCAGAATATAATTAAACACCAGCTGGCTTTTTCCATCATGATCTATTAATGTTACTATAATAAAATGTGCTTACTGTATAACATTAAGAGAACATATAATTTCCCACTATATTCTTTATTAGTTTGGTTAACACTCGTCTGAACCAGAGTTCAACTGCCACAATGCAAGAGATGCTACAAAAAAGCATCCACTAATGAGCGTCATACTTTTAAAACCCAAACTCAAGCACACAAAGCACAATCATCCTCTAAATATATCCCTGATTCAAAACTCTTCCAGTCTCACTGCTTTCCCGAGCACAGAACTGTGAATTCAGGTAAGTTTATCTTTTTTCTGTGTGTCTTCCTCAACTTTGTGTCTCTCCCGGCCCAGGAAAGCTATTTTTGTGTGTGTTAGTTTTGCCTAATAAGATTTAGCAGCAGTGAAAAACAGAATAATTTCCAGTGGAAGCCTTGTTTTATTGTTTGCGGGACCTAGAACGGCCGTCCCTCAAGGAGGATGAGGCACAAAATAAGTTTAATCTCCAGACTTCCAGCTGCCTGATAGCAACGCAATTGCAGGCGAATATGAACGCACTATATATTTTGTCAGTTGTTTTATGAGATGCTATCTCCCCAGGGAATCCACTCGAAAGAAGCACTTATGAGAGAGACAAGCTTCAAAAACCTGTGCAAAATATTGCGTTTACTCTCGTTTTTACACAATATTCAGAAATATTTTGGAGTGAATTTAATTTAAAGTATCTATATATACAATTTCTATTTTTATAAATAAGAATAAATCAATATATGTGTCTTATTCATCTTTATTAATGTTAGTTAATAAAAATAAAATCATTTGTTGTTAATTCTTGCAAACAGTGCATAAACTATTGTAAATAAAGATGATATTGGATTTTAATAATGTTGAACTATGATTAATAAATGCTGTGTTGTTCATTATTATGGGTGGCTCAGTGGTTAGCACTGTCTCCTCACAGTAAGAAGGTCACTGGTTTGAGTCTGTGTGGAGTTTGCATGTCCTTCTCTTTCCGGTGCTTCAGTTTCCCCCACAGTACAAAGGCATGTGCTATAGGTGAATTGAATGAAGTAAATTGTAGAGTATAAGTGTTTGTGCGAATGAGTTTGTAAAGGTGTTTCCCAATACCGGGTTTTGGCTGGAGGGGCATTCGCTGTGTTAAACAAATGCTGGTGGCCGAACTGTGTCACCAACTTCGTGGACGTCCAGTGAAATGGCCCCCGTGGTTCGAAACGACTCCGAATTGTTATGGTCTGACCCACAGGGGCCCCTCAAACGATCCGCAAAGTTTGGGGCCCGCAGGTCCTTTGCAAGTGCTTAATTGGCTGGGCGGGGGAGGGGCGGATTAGATCATTTTCTCTGAATATTTCTTTCTGATTTTTTTTCAAGTGCTTCCCCTGCACCGAGGCGTACGCAATTTGAATAGGTGGTGCAGAGGGCTTTTACGAAACTGTAGATGAAGCCCCCAACGTTTGCGCAAAAATAAAGGTCCCTTTGACCACTCAAACAAAAAGGTCCCACAGGCAACTTATTTGAATGGGCCCAAATAGGCTGTTTGTGGACGGTGCTTTTTTAGGCCACAGAAGCCTTTTGGTGTGCTCTGACGTGGAAAAAAAACTGCTGGGTGGGGCCTCCTGACCCTTGTACTCCCCCTAATGAACCCCAAAATTGTTCCTGCTGTGAATGGTGACCCTTTACAAGCGTGTCAACGGACAGCCTACCTCGGTCTGTTCAAATAAGCTACAGGTGGGATGTTTTTTCTTAATCCATCTGCTAGAGCTGGAAAACCTCAAAAAAGTGCCAAAGAAACCTATGTAGGTGGATATGAAAGCCTCCCTGGGCCATCTCCAGATGTTGAAATGTTGAAATTCCACTGTCCACGAACAGCCTATTTCATACAATAGAATAGATTGTACGTAGGATGTCCACTCACATAAGGTACACGTGGCATGTTTTACATGATCCACCCACCCAAGTGGTCAAACCTCAACAGATCCCCAAACAAACCTATGGAGGTAGATCTTCACGTCCCCGGCTTGCCCCCTGCTGGTAAAACCTCAAAATTCCACTGTCCAGCAACCACCTATTTTTATGAATGGAATAGATTGCAGGTGGGATGTCCAGATCTCAGCTTCTGGGCACAGTAGAGAGCCCAAACCTGCATTTCTGTGCTCGTCTGGACATGCCCTATCTAGGGTGCGAATTTGAAGAAGATTGGAAAAACTTGAAAATTTGACCCAAAAAAAACCCAAGGGGTACCCCTTATAGATTTTTTGGGTCAAATTTTTGACTTTCTCCAAACTTCTTCAAATTCACAGCATAGACAGGGCATGCCCAGAGTAGCACAGAAAAGTATGTTTCAGCTTTCTAGGCCTTGTAGAAGCTGAGA